TGTACTCATACCAAAACTTCATGCCACTTATCCCACCTACTAACCCCTGTACTTGAGGACAATCTGTCGTCCCTAGGCTCGGCCTCGACAAGATCCTCAAGACCACCCTACTAATACCAAAGCCTCACCATCTCATCATAAAAAACAACTTTAAAGTTCCGCCGCATTAGGTCCGCCAAGTTTCCTTCCCGTCATGCTAAGAAAATTACGTCAAGTGCTAAACACAATCAGACTCGCCTTTATTACGTCAAAGCCATCGCCTCTATACACTTCTGCCAAAATGAACACACAACCAGGTAGGCTTTCAGTTACTGCTCTTTCCAAACATACCGATAGGTGTCGTCCTTACACTGTAGGCCTGTGACAGGTCCCACAATGCACCTCACTCAACTTTGACCTGCCCCATTGCATGACGGGAAACAAAATGGCGGCGCCCATAAAATCCAGGTAAAATAGAACAGGTTTTGCTATCACAAACCTGTAAATATTTGGAAAAATAATTATGTTTCCGTGCTTTGTAATGTAATAGAGGGGTAGCGAGTAGGCAAAAAATGTTTGTAACAGGACACGGCATTGAATTTCAGATATTGCCCCTCCCCCACACATGAAATGGTACAGTCCGCCTGTGGTGACCGCCTAATGTGACCCGCCTGTGGTGACCCGCGCCTCTACTCGCGACTTCCGCAGATGGCTGTGGCCCAAATTTTCCCAGTTTCTACTGCATTGACAGAACAAGCTGCTAGGCGGCGCTTCAATCAAAACACTGACACCGTTACATGTACAAATGTATGTTTACATGTATCACATTGGTTTTATTACGCTCATTAGAAAAAGATTCATTTGCATAAGGAAGACATCAGTATCAGCTCAGTAGTTAAACATAAACCAATACAATTGCCATGTTTATGTTATCATCACATTCAATGACATGACGGCTCTTAAGTATGACATGTTTCCCATGTTGAAATTTTCCACCTGTATGCCACATTGGGTTCAGATAGAAGTAGTAAGCAACTGAAGCAGCAAAGTTTGACATGTACATGTACAGCTCTTAGTGATTTGTCTAATTCCCGGAACAAGTATCTTCTAACACTGTGTCTGTCATACTTTCTACTCAGCTCCCATATGTGAAATATTTCATATTTACTTCTCAATTTGTAACTTTATCACTCCTGTGTCTTATATAAAACTTTGTTCATTGGGGTAAAAATCTTGCTCTTACAATGTATACAACATTAAGCAAGTATTCCACAAAATGTGTACCTCAAACCTTAACCTGACTAGGTATGTATGTGATTCAGAATACACAAAATTCTACTGTAATGTTAAATTTGAGGTGACATTGTTCAAAGGTTTTAGATATTCACATCATTAACATGATATTTCAATATCTTAATTGGTAAAATATACAATGTATACACTTATTTTCTTCCACAGATTTATGGCATTGTCCCTGCAAAATTGCACATCATCAAAAAAATTAAAAATTTTGTTTGTCCCAGTAGAGACATCTCATTACCTATGTATGTTTGGCTTCTTTAATAATCAGACTTCTCCCAAAAGTTGGCTCTTATTGCTTAGTTCCTTGCCCACTTACATGTAGATCAGTTAAAAGGTAACTCTTATTGCTTTGTTCTTTACCCATTTTGATCAGGTAAGAAAAAAATCCTATTAACAATAATTTCATAGTAGTTACATGACATTGCTTAAAGTTAAAACTTTTGGTCCAACACAAAAATCCTCTCACCTAGAGCTTTCGACCAGTCACTCTGGTCTTCCTCAGTAGACTGACCCAGTGAGGCTTGTCACGTGACTTCTTTGAAGTGTGACGTCAACACTGGGTCAACATTTCAAAGAAGCCTTGTGACAAGGAAGACCAGAGTGACTGGTCAAAAGCTCTAGTAGGTGAGAGAACTTTTTGTGTTGGATCTAAAGTTTTAACTCTAAATATCTGGCAGATACATTGGCTACATGTAGTGGCGAGAAGTACATTGTAGTTATGGTCAGAACCTCTGAGGAAGGTGTCTGATAGACATCGAAACGTAAGCAAGGTAATAGTCATCATTGGTTCTATGAAAGAAAACACTTCCTATTCACTATTGGGAAGGTACATCCATGATCCAGGAATGCTATACGTGAATGTACTACTAGTACTAAATGGGGGCCCACAATCCGTAATCAGCCATTTTAATTCTACGTAGAGTGTAGACGGGCCACTCTAATTCAACGTAGAGCGTATACGTAATTGGTGTATTTTATGTAGAGAATATTCTCTGTTTCAATTCTATGTTATGTGTTGTAGCCACTTGGAATTTATCTTAAAGCGCAATCGAGTGCTCTCACAATTTAGCGTAGAGCGTTGTGGGACCCCCCCATGCAGGCCCGGGCCCTAAATGCAGCATCTACCAGTGTCCACTTATGGCCAGCAAAACTCAAAATGCACAAAAATCAGTAGTCAAACCTGCCCATGAAGACTGAGAAGAATAAAATCTGCACTATGTGAACAGGTGGTCACTATAGACAGGATACCTAATGCATATTATCTTAGGGACCATCAATAAGTGGTCACATTGGCCAGGTGGTCCTTATATGTAGAGATTGTCACTTGTACAGGTTTAACTGTATTTTACAAGCCAGTGAGGTATTCTTAAATGGCCAGCTATAGCCAAGATACTGATCTCCTTGTGCGATATTTATTCCAGGCCTATCTATAAAAGTAATACACACTAACACTTATTATACAAGTCCTAGGGAAAAAATGTGTTTTCCATTACCCGACCAGCTCTAACAAAAAAAACGACCCTAGCCTTTTTTTTAAAAAGGATGAAAGACTGAATCCGAACTAGACATAATGCTTCGGTTCACGTCCAAATACCAGTGTATTTTCAGTGTATTAACTCTATTTGTTGGCTCACTTTGACTAAGATGTAAAAACTAACAGTGAATCCCTAGTATCTACCTGCCCTAATTTTTCAGGACTGTAATAGGAGACACAACATTAATTTCCTAGGCCTTACCCTTCTAATCTGTCTCCTAGGGAATGTCTTTTCATTTTACAACAGATTCAGCTCCTGAAGGTGGAGTTAATACATTTCAAACCTTCCACTATGCATCACAAGTGGTGAGTGAAACCTCAGAGTTGTCCGTGTCGTTCATGTGTGGCGTAGACCGTATCGCACCATACTCCACCGGCACATGCTCTGCACTGTTGTCCATCTGACGCTCTGAAATGACTGTTTGTCAAAGAAAATAGACATTGAATCAATGGAATTTAAGAAATACATGTAGCTTGTTTGGTTTGATGCGTCAACGTGTGATCAGTTTGTTCTATCATTTTGAGGCATTTCGGCAGAACGTACTGCACCTGGGAGAAACCCGTAATATATTGTTTACAGCAGAACGTCCTGTTTAAGACCATATTGGTGTATTTAATAGGGATGACATCCCGTCTGCAGGCAATTTTCTGATGCAAGGTCGACTAAATATAAAGAAAACTGTGAAATGTTTGGGTTTCGCTCAGACGCAGCGCTTCATTTTGATACTGAAATAAGTAAAAATCAGAGTTAGAGAAATAAAAGGTCAATGACAAGGTGACTTCAATATATCTAACAGTTTATACAACTCATATCAGAGGCAAGTGACAGGCAGCTATTAAAAGTTGAGTGTTCTATAACTGTACTCACAGAATGCAAGAAGACAGAACTCTCACATAACATCTGTGTCCATAATATCACCAGGGTCCATAATATCGCCACCTTGAGAAATAGTGTGCTTAAAGATATTTTTACTGCAACATACTTTTGGTATGCACTCCTTCACACATCAAATGTACATACCTAGGGACTATGTTGCAGTAAAAAATATCTTTAAGCACACTATTTCTCAAGGTGGCGATATTATGGACCCTGGTGATATTATGGACACAGATGTTACATGTACAAATGTAACTACATGTACATGTATACTAAAAACATTTAACTTTAAGAAAAAAGCTTCCTTGTTGTAACAACTAATGTTCTTCCTGCTAGGATGAATGGTGAAACTGAAAGTACTACCAACTGAAGAGGCTACAGAAACTTTTTCAATCCAACATTACTTGAGTGTGGTTAGTTGCCTCCTCATGCATGATTCTATCACATCTCAGACTCAGGACTTTGGCAAGTTTGCTGCAGAGTCTCCAGCTCACCTCCACCGGACTGTTGGGTACTTTTTTCACTCAAAACGTAGACTAGGACCACACAAATCAAAGGTTACTTTTTATTTTTTCTTTAACAGAATCTAGCTAGGACCAGCCACCGGAGACACCTGCCACCTTACATGTAGCAATGCTAAAGGCATCCCATGCAATTTTTTGGGCAAAACTGAAAATATTCTGAATAAGGCAATCTGTATGATATTGACACATACTGTCCCACATTAGCAGATTTGGATCAGTATTTCATCCTTTGGGCTTTTAAAACTGCAGAAACAAGCCCCATGATGAGTCCTATATTTTCTGGGTGGTACACTAAAAATCGGTCCAGGATCCTTCCAGCAACAATTTTCCATCACAATTTTCTGCAGTTTTGCTCCATGAAGGTCGATATACATTGAGACAGTGTTGTTTCAACTAAGTATGCAGATAAGTTTCTAAAATATTGACTGAAAAATCTGGTTCCCAAGCCCTAAAAACTGCATTGGATGCCTTTAACCTTATAAAGCATGTTCCAATCATTCTATGAAAGCCTGTGTGATACAGATTAAAGCATGTGCATTACCGTGAAATACCATTTGGACTAGAAGTAGAACACCCATATTGAACGTTACTACAGCCAAGGTATGACATAAACTTCTACACAGTACAAGGAGTTATGTGGGAAGACAAAGCAGAAGGTTTTAAAAAGTGGGGACAGGCAAGACATACCTTAAGCTACTATGGGGTAATAAGAAAGAAGCCAACATGAAAGGCAAACGGCTATTCCGAGATCAGGGTGCGCCAATGGCATCGTGCATCGTTATGTCAATCTTACTCTGTATTTATCGCATTCTGTTGACATTTATCAAACTTGTTATACTAGTACAGTTATTTTTCAGACAATCAGGAAGAGATTTGGTGTTAAGATGTTTAAAACTTATGCCATGGCCAATTTAAGACCAGAAATTGGCATAAAATATGGAATGAAAAGATTTGCAATATGTTCAGACATGCTCAGTCTGATATGTTTTGCAAAAAACCTGATGATCATTGGAAATTTCTCTTTTCTAGAGCGCATTTATCAATATGTTGTACACGTTATGTAAAATTCATAAATTAACACATTGCAATTAACTTATCTCCCTGTACTAAAAAGGATGGTGATAGAACTGGCCATTTGGCATGTTATGCAAGGTACATCCATATATGACACAAAACATGTGTTTTTATGTTGCTTGTCCTTTGGGTTAATATGGCTGATGGCTTACAGTTACCTGTCTTTTTTGTCCGAGAAAATGTGTAGTGTCCGTTGCTCGGTAATAACTTAAAATAGAAAAGCTGTGGGTGCATATGATTTCAGGTTTTGAAACAGCTGAAGATGCTGACTTAAAACACAGTGGCTATTTCAGTCTATTGCAGCTGTAATTATATGAAATAATGTCAAAAAACCTCAAGGGTGTAGTGTCCGTTGCCATGTAGTGTCCGTTGCCAAGTATACCATATAGGTACATTAATTACATTTTGTTGCAATTTTGAAGTAATTTTGTCATTTATGTTATTTCTGTAGCATTTTTTCAACTCCTAAATGACAGGTCTTGCAAGATTTAGTGTTCTTGTCATGTACTTGAGTGGCCAGATGTGCTAGTAGCTTAGCAGTGGTACAGCTAAGCTGTAGTGTCCGTTGCCGGCCACATCTGAAATGAGTGGGCTAAAGTTTGGAAGAGCACAACTTTTGAACTGAACGTCTCTATCCAAAAATTTAAAAAGTGCAATGTATGGCAACACCTCTAGTGCGATTTTCTGCACTGAAAGTAGAAAAATATAAAACTTGAAAAATTGGCCCAAGTGCAACCCTTTGGCGCACCCTGATCTCGGAATAGCCGAAAGTACAAATGTGTGTGTGTATCAAAGGCACCCAGAGCCATTTCAGGGTAGCAAATCAACCCTATCCCATAGCATACTGATATCTGTAAGGCAAGATGCGATGTCGCTGATGGAAAATGGGTGCTCGTTTTGTATTGTAGGCTGGTTCTAGCTATTAACTGGTGGTACTAAGAAATACATATTGTAAAGGGACTCTTCAGGTAGCTTGCTTTTGGGCTACTTCAAATGCTTCAAGTACATGTATGAAATGATGACAGAATTGGCTAAGAAATGGCAGCAAATGGCAATATCACGACTAGACAGATTTCGTCATGCAGAATATTTTTTGGGGGTTTTGCCACCCCAAAATTGCAGTGGATGTCTTTAAAGTACAACAAGACAGCAAAATAGATACACAATCATGCTGTACGTACATTCTGTTTTGATGCCGATGGGTTTACAGATGAGAGTTGCCAGCACCAGCAGTGCCAGAAGACCCACGCCTCCTGGCACAAACACCATCACCTGCTGGTAGTAGGACTGGCACGCATCACAGCACACACTGCAATTCAACATGGAACAGTTAGGGGGCAGTCCTGTCTGAAGGAAGAGCTAAGTACAAATGTACTGGCTATACATACATGTATTATGTCATATACATTTCTACCATGTAAATCTAGGGACTAGCATATATTTGTTACACTCATTAGGTACAACAGTTTACATGAATGGTAAAAGATTATGCAGACGTTTTAAATCAAATGCACCTACATACAATATAATTATGAACCCTCTGATTCACATGCATGAAATTATCATGATTGCCTTGCCTTTGTGACGGATCACAGGGTGCTTGCTTACACATTGTACTGAAAAGGATCACAAGGGCAAAATTAAAGCAAACATATCCAATCACAAAACTGTAGGAAATCAAACATAACAAGCAATACAGGTTGGACAGCAATTAACACACACACATTGTAATCATTATCTTGGATCATGATTTTGTCTGATTTAAAAAAAACAGATTTTTTTTTTACAATCCATCAACTAAGGGTCACATACATGTACAATGTAGATCCTCATACAAGGCAATAAAATGCTTACTGTTCATACTGTTTAGCCTGTTCGTTATAATGTATAATTGTACCAACACATGCAGATGAACTTTCCCGCTAAAAGCATGCGAAATGCATTTGATCTATTCTATGGAAATCTGTGTGATAACCATTAGAACAAGTTATCACACGGGCCAGAACACCTGTATCAAACATTATTGCAGCCCAGGTATGACCAAGGAGGTCCTCTTGTATTTAACCTCCTTGGTATGACATAAAGACAAAATATATTATAATAAAATACATGTATACTAAGTCTTACTTCGTGTCCGAGCAGGGATGTAGAGTCTGTACTAGTGTGACAGCCAGCCCGTTGGACAGTTTGTCAGTAAAACTCATGGCACCATACACAAAAGCACCACTATCCTGCAAATACATGTTGTAAAGTATAATTAAAGAATTGAATAGAAAATAAATTGTACACAAAGTCATGATCAGATAAAAGCTCTGTCCTAACCGTTGAAGTTACCAAACAGCTTGAAGCACATTTATCTATCTTACTTAAAAAATATGCTTAATATAAGCAAAAGGCAAAATCAGCCATAACAATTAAAGTGTACATTAAATACCAAGGTTTGAACCTCTAAAATAAACATTAATTCAAGGTTTGATATTCATTCTGGACCTTTTACACTTTATCAAATTCAGTCAAACAGGCTGAGAAATGTTCACCTAAATAAATATGCCTTTTGGTATCTTTTAACATGTAATGTTACTGCGGATATGCTATCAATTAGAATTCTTTGTGTAAAATTATCATACACAAAATGAAAATTGACAGACCAGGTTTTCCCCGATGAGGTCAGCTGTCATGGAGAGGGACGTGACGAGGACGGTGGAACCGCCGACTCCGAGTAGCACGGCTGCGCCGTAAACCTGCAGGCCGATGTTCGGCACCCACATCCAGTCACACGCAAACAGTACGCACATCACGCCCAGGAAAAATGTCATCTGTGTATAAAGAAGGTACAACAGAGTCAGTACTACAAATTGAAGAGAATAATGCAAAACTGTGAAACTGTCATTGTCAAATGTTCCAGTACAAAGCAAGCTCAATTTTGGACCTGTTTTCCTGGCAACTTTCAGGTCACCAGAGGATGAAATAAAGGTCAGAAATAAAGTCACCTTTGTGTGGCCTAAAGAGCAGAATATTCATCAATAAGTGACTGTTTTTGAAAGGTAGAAATACGTACCTCCAAATTTTCGATGTCGACTGTACATCTTGATCATGGAGTGACATCAAAACAGTCACTGATTGATGAATATTCTATTAACTGTCAATCTTACGTGACTGATGAACCTCTTCAACGAGGCAGAGTACAGTCTAACCGGAGTGTCTTACCTTCCTTCCGACTGCTTTGTTTACTGCCTTCATGGCAAAGGATGACAAGAAACCGCTCAAGTATGTGACCAGGGGTATGGTTGCAATGTAAGCCTGTGAAGAAAGAAAATTGTCAGAATGTATTAGGCTCAATTATTCACAGTATTCCAGTGTTCTAGCCAGCCTGAAGTTTTCATCATTTTAATTTTGTTTGCCATACATTGTAGGTAGTTGTTGGCGTATCTTAACACACTGACTTTTGTCTGTCAAAGAGAGCCTACCTTGTCCAAGTTGAGGGTGTCTGTGAGGTAGAGTGGCATGTAGACTTGTGACATGTTCACCATCAACCGTGTGCACATGTACAGAAGAGCCACCTAGCAGCAGAACAGTGAATGACAAAACAAAAACATGTCTCACTCTCAGTAGAATACCTTAATCGATATCAATGAACAGTTATGTCCAAAACACTTCCAACTTTAGAATAAAAGGACAAGGCATTACAAGCTGTAATAAATGACTATTTACACCAGTCCTGTACATGTTGTTTTGAGCATTTATTCCATTGAGATATGATCTGATATACATGTAGATACATGCAGACAATTGATCTAAGACCTCTTAGACAAGGCAGATTATTACCTTGCAAAAATCTTCATAGTATTACACATGTGCTCACCTGGTAAAACTGGACCTCTTTTAACCAGCATTTCCAGGTCATTTTTCTTCTCTTGAGTTTCTTCTTAATAATGGGTTCATTTTCTTCGTCCTCCTGTATTAAAACAAACATCATCACTCAGTAATGTCACATGCTTTAGGAAACGACAACCCTGCCTCATACAAGGTACTAGATGTAGTATCAATTGAAAATAGTTTTATTGGTTGGTAAAACATACATAAGTAGGGTATTAGGGTTTCTTTTTACACCTTCCTCAGAGCTTCTGGAGTTCTGCTACTGGGAGAACACATTTGGGATTGCATTCTTGACACAAAAGTGCCACTTATATTGGCTACAGTAATCTGTACTCAAGGAAGCTGTCTGATAGACTATATGACTAATTTATATCTGATAGAAGTTTGAGGGGGCCGGCCTGCATGCCCTTTTCCATAGAGCGTAATCCGCCGTTTTAATTCTACGTAGGGCGTAGACGGACCGCTCTAATTCAACGCAGAGTGTAATTGGCCCTTTTTTGCGTAGAGCGTAGTTCGTGTTCTAATTCTACGTGAAGCGTTGTAGCCACTTGGAATTTATCGTAAAGCGTAATAGCTACTGTAGCGTACTACGTAGCCGGCTCTCAAAATTCAGCGTAGAGCGTTGTCAGGACCTCCCCATGCAGGCCCTCGTTTGAAAGGTTTGTAAGCTGACCTGGACGTTAGGCTGCTCCTCGGTCACACTCTCTGCTCTGTGTGGCCTGAGAGGCTCTGTCGTTCCCATGTGAAAGATGAAGGAGAAAAACAGCCCAATGCCAATCACAATAAAGGCAAGATTCTGTAAAAAAAAATTAATTTTACAACATCAATGATTATTGAAAGCAGACCAATAGTTCAACAGATAAAATGTTCTAAAAGTCAGCTTTTTATCATGGAACTTGAAGTAATATGTATCAGGGCTCCAGCCAGCACCTATTTTTCATCAATTGCCTGAACGTCATGTTATGGACAAATTTTTCAACCAATCCGTCAACCTTGACAGACAAAATCAACAAAAATCTTCATTTGAAGAACCACCGATAGCCACTCTCAACCCCATGATTCTTCCTGCAAAATTGTGTTTTTGAAGGCTTGGAAATATAAAAAATTTCATTCTGTAAATCAGTACTCCCCCCCCAGATACAATCATGAACTTGGGCTGATGGAAAAAAATTCTTGCTGGCTAGCTATAGAGCCCTGATGCAAATCATGCAACATCATGCACTGTCACTGATATACATTCTATTGACAAACTTACCCTAAATTCATCTGCATCTTCAGGTGAAAGGTCATGGTGATTGGACCTGTCCTCTAAACCAAGCAGTAGCCAGGCTATGGCATACACTGCCACATTCGCAAGCACTGTGAACGCATACCTGCACGAAAAATAATCACATTTAGAAATCAGCAGTTGCGTTTGGGCCCAGGAAAAAATAGTTGTGTTTCTTGTTTTGGTCCTGAAAAAATTTGGGTCGTTAGGTAGGGACTATGATCTTTTCTTTTTTTAAGACTTCGTTGATCTCTAGTGATTCAAAGTAAAACTTGTATGAGTACACTTTCAATGTCAATGTTGGAAAATGGATAGTACAACATTTCATCACTCAAAGGTTGATCAGGTTGAAAAGTTTATGTCCCTTGCAGGTCGGCACTTTTGTCTAAGGTCGGTTGGGAAACAGTGATTAACATTTTATTTTCCCAGGCCTCGCCAAAGCTCTATGTATGTACATTTGTACATGAGAAATCTATATAATAAATTTGTTTTTCCAGTTGTCTCTCAGCCTCCAAGCTGTACTAATATTTCTAATGCAATAAGGACAGCTGTATTTCTAATCTAAGGCAAAATGAACATCTATAGCTTGAGCTAATGGAATCTGCAGTTGAACAGGTATTCATCCAAAAACTATGAATTGATATGTGAAGACAGACCTGATAGCGTTGAGTTCCACCCTTAGTGAGGGACTGCTGGCTAAGTCTGGGATGAGGGCCAGGTGGGAGATCTGTGTGGATGCCCAGCCGAACTGGAAAATCACCACAAACGGGACGTAGTAGATGAACTGTGCCCAGTCGGGAGACTTGGAGCAGCTGATGCACAGGTTGAAAATGAAGGGGAAACTGCAGGCTACACAAACTGAACCTGAGGAGAGAAAATGTTCAGAACTATTTTTGGCGACGTCTCAGGGAGGAGCCTAATGGTACAGCATTGTGTGCAATTTGCAAGAATTCTAGGAATTGTACAGAAATACCTGCACAGCTACAATTTTAACTGCACCAACCTGTATATGCAGGTGGTATTTTGAGCCCTGCAATTCTTAGCTTACAAATGTTTGGAATCCTCATCTCCTGTTTAAACTCTATCCTTTTCCAAAGTATATGATTTGAACCTGTAATGCTACTTAAATGAAGAATTTGTTTACCCTCCTCCAGCAAACTGTACCTTTGGTAGGATGGAGAACTAAGCAATATTATGGTTGTAATTTCTTACCTACGAGGTGCCAGATCTTCCTCCTTCCGTACCCACAGCCGCTCCTGGTTCTGTCCGACTCATATCCGACAAATGGCGTACACAGGGCGTCGCTGACCTGCCCCACCATCAGCAGCTGGCCAGCCAGCACGTTGGAGAAGTTTACCACCTTGTGGATTCAGATTCAGGTTTTCATTTTCCAATGACAATATTTAAGCAGGTACATGAATAAAATCAATATTACCTGAAATGCGTCATTGATCACAAAGCAGCTGTTTAAGTGTTAAAATTCAAGTACACACATAATTCCAAACGTCAAAATTAAAATTTTTTCCTATTGTCCCAAAAATAAATTTAATTGTCCAAAAGTGAGGATGAACTGTCCCAACCTGTTTTTCGGGAAGTATGTACAATGTATGACAACAACTTGAAGTCAATTTTATTTTGTTTCAATTTTATTTTGCTTACTCCCAGGCACACTATACTGGCAGAGTTTACAAGAAATTTGGGGGGCTTTTCCAGAGCCAAAAGCCAGGAGGCTGCCTGATCAACTAAACAAGGGTTGACATTCTGGTGTTGATTATTTTTCTAATATCTGAAAGAAAGTCCCAAAGTGACTTTCTCTTCTTCTTAATTCTAGTTGTCCTTGCATGGATTTTAGTGGTCAGTGACACTGTTAATTTCAATCCCTGAATAATACATTATAAAATAGAATCTTCACAGTCAGAATAATCTCAAATAAACTATTTACAAACTATACCTTGTGGAAGTACACCAGCAGGTAGGAGAACCACATGGACGCACAAAGATCGTTCAAGACGTGGCCTACGCCATACGTGAAGCGCCGTGAGCGTGGCAGGCTCCTGTGTCCGTGTGGCTGGGGGTTGGGCATCTTTTCCGCAGACGGTTCGTTCCTCTTCAACTCAAGCCAGAAGATTTTTGGGCCCTCGGTTGAGTAATCTGTCCAAAAGTTTTAGTCACCTACGTAGGGAAGCCATCCTGAGAATGAAAACAAAAACTCAGTTAGGATTATCAATGAGATATCTTGTTGAATAAAGAGACTCTCTTTTACACAACCGAGTGTTTTATTCAGTTGACACTTCTATCATCTGTCACCTTCCTCAGGGCAGTTCTGACAGGTTCACATTGCACTGCACAGGAGTCACTGCTTATAGGTGCATATTCCCAAATGCAAAGGATTAAAATTATGCAGTCGCAGGGAACGATATCTAAAATGCAGTTCTAACAATACAGGGGTGTAAGAAAAAAATGATATGTACATAAATTCATTAGCAACACCTACATGCTGTGCAATGTGAACCAGTCAGAGTTGCCCTGAAACTAGTCACATAGATATCTTGCTGTTGTATTTCATTAGGTCTTGGCAACAAATAAGTACAAAACACTGTTACGTAACAAGTTATATAACATTATATCCTTTCATCAAATGTAGGTCATGTACAAACTGATGACATACGTACAATTGTAGTACCATATGGATGTTTTGGGGGTTTACCTCGGGGTTTGAAAGGTTTGGAAATTAAGCGAGAAATTAGGATACTGGTTTATCCGAAGGAAATTATATGTCAATTATATTTATGATATCATGTTATAACAAGGTCATCCGCCAGGAGGCCCATATTTGACCTTCACCTTTGGCTTTTCAAGACTTACCAACATACCAAATATCATCACAATAGATAAAGGCATTCTGCATTTATGTTGACCACAAAGTTGCGGAAACACGAAACTTAGAAATTCGAATGACATAAGCCAGTTTAGGTGCAGAACGTCCCGTTTCTTGAACACTACTCTGCCGTACTGTGTTAAGCTTTTGAATGGTGAAAAATGATTCACTACATCAGTTTCACATATACAACCCTGCATATCATAACTTTGCATTATTTCTGTAATTTTAACTTGAAAGAAACATTCAATAAACTGTTTTTATATATCATTATTGTATTTTTAACGTGTGGTAAATTTTAATGTAGGCTAGATATGCAACGAGTAGCTATTTATCAATTGAAAAGAATTTTTACAAATAGCTAATCTATAAGCACATTTTGTGTTGTAAGCCTTTCCAATTCAGCCAAATATGGCTGCTTACAGGCTTTTATGTGTACCTTGTGTAAGGCACAAATAAACCAGTCTCTCTTTCACACACACACACAGACAGACAGACACACAGACAGACACACAGACATACAGACAGACACGCCAAAAACAATACCTCCATTTTTCATGGAGGTAATACAGGCATGGGCAGGGGAGTGACTCGTACCAAGCCAAGGAGCTTGTACTAACTAAATCATGAAAGACGTGTTAAATATATGGGAGTACTTCGTTGTTTAAACACTACGATCGATCGCCTGTGATATTAGATCCGGGAACGCAGTGGTACGAGAGGCCACCACAGGGCCACTGTTTTACACCGGCCTGATAATCGTTTTTATCTTACAAAATACTGTTGTGAACATGATGATGCAATCACGCAAACTACTAGTACTAGTACCTGAAGCTTACTACGCTACGTACTCAAGCTTCAACAACAAGGCGTGTTGACCTGATTATGGAAGCTTTGCCAACTTAAATAACTATTGGGTCGCGATCCAGCAATAAAACGTAGAGGGCGATGTTGAAGACTTTAAAATTTGCGAGATCAAACATATTGTGCAGTCCTTACCTTTCTATGGGTTTGTCTCCCTTTGTGATCACCGGTGGTGATACGTTACCAAAATCCAGGCTCTACAGTCTTAGATAATGAAATGTTGCAGTTTCAGTTGCCGTAACAGGCCATTGCTGTACTCTGTACCATGTAGGGAATCCACAATTCACAAAAAAGAAATCGTCCGTACAGGTACTGTAGGATAATTTTAGACAAACCGGAAAGCAACAACTTTTGACTGATCGAACCTCATGTGAGAGGCTCCATGTGATGCTCGCGTGACCCGTATTGACCCTACTGGACTAGTCAACTTTTCGGGAGGGTCAATATTCTAACATCACGTTTAGTACGTCGTTTTAAAAGATATAAGCTTAGAAAAGAGTATATAAAAGTGCTAAAATATCCATTTAAAGCTTGTATTACTTTGATGAATCTTAACTCTAATAATATTATGTATCAGATCACATCTGCTCTCAACCCCCATAAGACCAAATGGAGTCGTCAAGTGGGCGGTAACGGGTCAAACTTCAAGTAACATGTGAGTCATCAAAGGTTCGGATATTATGTTTAGGAGTTATGTAATTATAAAGACGATTGCGTGATTTCTAAAGATTTGAAAGTACATCGCGATGTCTGGAGTAGACCTAGCGGACCTGCAGACCCGGGTAGAGGCGGCGGCGGACCGGATCAGACCCTACGTGCGGCGCACTGCGCTGGAGTTCTCACACGGACTTAGCGAGAAAAACGAGGGCAATGTTTTCATCAAGATGGGTACTAAATTATCTCAACCTCCTTGTTCTAACGTACACAAAATGTAATTAAAACCACCAAGGACATTATACAGGCTGTATACGTAATGTCCTTGATACCACCATGCATGAGGTTTTTTTTATCACCGGCACCTTGCTCCATCATCAATGAAAAATGTTGTTTTTGCAATTTTGGTATGTCTGTATGTGTACTAGTATGTCAGTGTGTGTGTGTTTCAGCAAATTTTATTATAAACTGGTTGGTTCAGTCTCTCCCAGAGGGAGCGTGGAGAAAAGTCATTAATCATCATCTTCTTCATTACATTTTGCAAGACTTAATAACCAACTGAACTAACACTGATTCACTGAATAGATGAACACTGATTCTGAAGTCTTCTTGACACAATAATGTGCTTCCTGTCAATAAGATTTTTTTTCACTATTGACATCATTGTGCAATCAAGGAGGTTTAAAATTGTATTTAACCTCGTTGGTGCAATATAGGCTATTAGCAGATGCAAATTGTTTATTTTACAATGTGGCAGTCTGGTTCTGTGTCTTCGCGTTTTCGCCCCAATAAATCAAATCCTTTAGAATGGATTTGTCTAAAACTTGGCATGTCAAGAGTTAAAGAGGGAATGAAAAACCTTAGCCACACTGCAAACACCATAATTATGTCAGGGAGGAAATGTGTTTAATCAAATTGACTCTTGTTTAATTTTCAGAGAGTGAACAGAGGACAGGTTCATTCAAAGTCAGAGGAGCCTTCAACAAGTGCCTTGTCCTGAGTAGGGAGAAGCCAGGCACCCATGTGACTACTGCCTCCTCAGGAAACCACGGTTTGGCTTGTGTATGTCAATGTGTGTCCTCTTTGTCATGAGGTTACGTCGAAGAACAAAAAATACAAGGTACATTACCCATTAAATTTAGCACACTGAAGTAGCCATCTTTGCTGGTTGCCAAAGGGTTCTTTAACATGCGCTCGAGGTGTGGCTCTCCTTAGACACATGTTCTTACAAACTCAAGTACGGGAAGATTCATTTCTTGTTTCTTCTTCCGTTCCAAACACTGACCTCGTCAATGACCTGAACCAGACCGTCTGTCACCATGGTAACTGGTGTTGGGTTACATCATGTTGCAATTTTATAGTAGGAGGGAGTTAGACTCCTGTCACCATATACTGTATGTGAATGTGTTTGAGTAAGAATTGAAAGATCAGACCATATGCGAAGGTAAACATTGTGCATTTGCTTTGCAAATGTTACCTTTCCAGTTCCAATACTATTTTATTTATCAGACATTAGCCATGAAGACTGTTGGGCTGAGAGGAACAATCTTCCTGGGAGAGAATGTGTCCAAGACAAAGGAGTTGGCCCTGGTCAGAGAGGGAGCCATCCTGAGGCATCATGGGACAGATTGTGTAGAGACTGAGAACAAAGCGAGGCAGACAGCCCGGGTGAGCAGTCAGTGATATTTTTCTTTCCAGTATTTGACAGAATTTTGATGCTCATGACGGACAAAAATTTGTATCATCTTTAATGGACAAAAATCAGTGTGTAAAGATATGGACAGAGATGTCATTAAACTACACGTGAACTTAGCTATAGTCTACCAGCAAAATTTCCCTACGAAATGCAGAAAATAGCGTGAGGTGTATATGGAGGCATTTTATAAATATAAACCATCTGTATGCTTTAAAATGATATTGATGGTTCACTGATACAGTGATAGTGGTACTCCATACATAGTTTTTTAAGTTCATAATGTCAAGTCTCCCTAATATGTAACAGTGTATTTGTCTTAATTTTCTATGAAAATAGCATATACTAGTAATCCAAAAATTGCAAGCAATGTATTATTGTGTATTTCAGGAAGAAGGGATTGAGTACATATCCCCATACAATGATATGGAGGTCATGACTGGACAGGGGACAATAGGGTACGCCAGTCAACTTTTGTTTAGGATCTATGTTGCAAAAATAATTATAAATTCAGAGGACTGTTACAATGATTCAAAGTATCTGTCAGATCATTCTATTTTGTTTTGGAAATGTTTGCAACAGTGGTTAAAGATGATTATCAAAATAGTTTTACCCTAAGTTTGGAAACCACCAAATTACAGATTTGTGACTATCAGCAACTAATCAGTTACTGACAGTCTCATCTTAGTAAACTGTCACAAGTGTGATGAACTGACAAGTACTGATGCTTCAGCAGTTATTTTGAGGATGAGCCTCTGAGTAGAAGAAAAAGTTAAGCACTATCAGAGATATTATCCAAGTCAAACAAGTGCCCAATTAAGTTACTTAGTTTGTCAAGAAAGTTTGTCGTGTATTGTATAAACTTCTGACATCTAAATACATTGTGTATAAAGTGGAAAACAGTTTTGGATTGATACCCACAGTCACATTCACTCACAAGATGGACTTGTTTGTAAGGCCATGTTGATTTGGTTATATGGATGACATCCGCGTGCGCATGAATTTTTGGACCGTTTACCAAAAAAAAAAAGTTTTTACAACCATACTGTAAATCGTACAAAACAGTTGCAAAATGAGCAAAAATATACCATAAGTTACAAAAAAATTGATAAAAACTATACCAATGTCGTAGAATGCCAAAATCAAACGAAAAAAGACGAAGTTGTAAAGAAATGAACTTGAAGACTAGATTATTCGCCAAACCATATTCTGTGCCATTTGCTCAACCCTCATGACCACGTAGATTTCATAATGAAAAGAACTTTTTTTTTTTGCAAAACTTTTTTTTTATTCGCACGCTCGCATCAGTTTTGGGGTTCCCGGAGGATGTCATCCATATAATCAAATCAACATGGCCTAATGACAATGATTAAGAGATGCCTGATTAGGAAATAAAGTTATTGTTTTATTTTATCCTGATGCAGAAAGGAAATCCTGGAGGATCTTCCTGATGTGGATGCCGTGTTTGTACCAGTGGGTGGAGGAGGTCTGATTGCTGGAATAGCTGCATATATTAAGGCAGTGAAGCCGACTGCAAAGGTTGTCATCTGTGATTTGTCATCATTTGTATTATACTTAATTATAGAGTAAGCCCTTTCTGAAAATTTGTGTGCCTCTTACAAGGCATAGATCTTAAAACTACAATTTCACTGTGGCAAAACTGGATTTTCAAAGTCAATTTTCTGTTCATTCTTTTAATGCATACTATGTTGAATCAATACTATCTCAAAGCTGTGAGTCAAAAATATGATGTCACTGACAGAAAACAGTTGCTTGTTCTGTTTGCTTATTGTATAAAATTAAAGAACATTAAGTGATGTCTCACTGATGTACCATATACATGTATATTGGGGCAATTAAAAATGCTTCAAATGAAAAATACCGGTAATGAAATGATGACAAAAATGTGCTAAGAGATTGCATAGACAGATTTCCTCTTCTGGAGTATTTGTCTATTTCGCCACCCTGAAATTGCCTTTGAAACTTATGAGGTATTCGTGTTTCAAATTGACCCATGTTGTCGTCACAGATTGTGGGTTGTCAGCCAGCCAGGTCAGCAGTGATGGCCCAGTCTGTGGCGGCTGGACGTATCCTGGACCTGCCCAGTCTGGACACTCTATCTGATGGCACCGCAGGGGGTGTGGAGGAAGGATCCGTGAGTTTAGATAAAACTGATGCTTTTCTTAAAGGGGACAAACACAGTTTTTAGGAACAGATTTTTCAAAGTCAATATTATAGCTAGTCACAGCAGTGCAGACGTTTATTGATATGTCATGTTTTCTTTCTACTTCCCTTGGTGCTGAAACATCTGATGTTTTTGTTTCTATCATGCTGATAACTACTAATACTACCCAGTGAGGACTGTTTTGTGGTATTTTCCAGATCACCTTTCCCATCTGCCAGCAGTGTGTGGATGACTGGGTACTCGTGGAGGAAGACGTCATAGCAGATGCCATTTATTTCATGATGTCAGATCATCACAAGGTAAAAAGTGCCTCCAGGCATGGTTTTTATGTGTGAGAGGAAGATTTGATAATAGAAAGAGGTGTGTTTGATCATATTATGATTGTTGTCATTACCAAAGCCCATCAAACATAGCTGAATTTGTCCTCCCCAACATGAGCCAAACTCCCGCAAACCATGGTTAGGAGTAGGTCTGGAGCATTAGGTCAGCTGGTGTTCGGCTGGAGTTAACTACTATTCAGCTGTATGTGCAAGTCAATGCTTCAAAATGTTTTAAACATTTAGGTGTGGGTGGATAGAAGGTTTGACCACGATTGTCTGGTGGTTGACTGAAAGTCAGCGGTGGTGGAGCATGGTTGGCAGTGGAATTTAACTCAAATTTAACTCAATTTTGATTTGATCCAAATGGCAGGCATGGCCGAAATCTGGTCAGATTGCTCCCAAACTTAGGGGAAGGTTTTGAATGTGTGACAAGATTTGAAGTGTCTGATTCTTTTATTTGTCACTAAGGCCACACCATTTTAATTAGTTGGTTCTTGGATTTGCCTGCTTCATTTTTCCTGATTTGCAAAAAAAAAAAAGACATTTCAGGCTCTGAATCAACTCGTGTTTTGGCCCCAACAGTTGAAGGAAGTCCCTTCTCTTCAGTGTGGTTTCTGTTTTTCAATCTATCAAAAATGCAGTGTTTTGATGAAAAGTTGAAATTCATTATTTGAATCATAGACCAGCCTGGCAATGTTGATGTCATGGCTCCTACTGCAGCATTTGGGGCTATAATAGGATGCCTAGACCTGTTTTTATTTCATTTTTTTTGCCCTGTTGCTTAATAGTTTTCCTGAAAAAATCCAAGAAACAACAAATCAAATTTGTGTGGCCTGATGATTGTTATTTCCTTTTTTGCCCATGCAGATTGTGGAAGGAGCGGCTGGGGTGGCCATCGGTGCCTTCTTGCAGACAGCACAGAAGTACCATGGGAAGTCTGTGGCAATCATTTCCTGTGGAGCCAACATCTCCATAGAGAAGCTGAAGGAAATTATAAATCACAGGCAGCCATGATTTAAGACATCCAGTGCAATGTTCAGGACTTCGAAACCCAATTTTTCAAGCCATAGTATTACTAAGTTGAAACCACACTATCCCAGTGTATATTGACCCTTATGGAGCAAAAATTCTGACGGAAAATGGTTACTGGAAGGGCCCTGGGCTGATTTTTATGGTACCGCCCAGAAGATAAAGGCTTCATCTTGGGGCTTGTTTCTGCAGTTTTAAATGCCTAAAGTATTGAAATGCAGATTTTAATGTGCTAATATGGAGCAGTATGTGTCAATATCACAAAGATTGCCTTATTCAGAATATTTCCAGTTTTGCTGCCCTGAAATCGGATGCGTTACGACACTGGATTCCAACATGAACTTCCACTGAGTTTTAGACTGTTACATGTAGATAATAAAGGAAAATTTTAATATCTTTTAATCTGTTTAAAGTTAAGCACTATTTATCAGTGTCCTTGGTGAAGGCAATATAATTCTCAACTGTTACAGTTAACAGAAGTGTTGATGGGTTGGATTTTAGTGGTCCAGGTACATCATTGTAGACTGAACTGAGATGCTCTTGTGTGTATGATGATTGAAAGGAATTGAAGGAAATCATGTTCTCATTGGCAACATCTGGGAAAGTAATCATAGCTGCAGTACTGCTGGGAAACACTAGATGGCAGTGCATGAATGCACATTTGAAGCGGTAATCTCCAAACAGATGCTGGAAAGGAAAGTTGGTCAGGAGAGTTGTTCTTTTTTCTTACACAACACCATCCTACTTTCTGTTACATGCCTCCATAAAAAGTTACCATGTTTACTGCTGTTTAGGAATAATTTAACCGTAACATACTCATCCTTACAAAATAAGTCCATAATATATAGTATAATGTTCGATATCACGTCTCAAATTTTAAGATAGCCCTTGTTTTAATTTTTTTTTTTTGTTTTAAAGTTTTTTTAATGTAAATCTAGAAGAAAGATGTGTGTAAAATGTTATGGCTGTATATTGTGTATTCTTTGTAAAAAAAATTAGCAACTATTTCAGACACTATTTTGAGTCAGTTGTTACCTCCGGGGAAGGAGACATCGTTCCGCGGAAGAGTATTAGAACGGTTTGGGATTTTCATGTTCGCAGCTATTTCTCGCGTTGGGGTGGACGGATTTTTTGGGAGTCGGTATTTGTTTTGCTATTGGGCTGTAGATGATGCACGTCCTTTTGCTTTTATTGTATATGTGTTTTCGGGCGTGAAAATTAAGACTTTTGGCGGCACCCGAACACCCCTTTGACCCTGAAAATGGTCGCGAGCGTTGACCTTTGGTGTGTTTAAGGTATTATCGGTTTGATCCACTTTTCATACGCTTCGCACAGAGGGGTGTCTGGCATATCTACACAGTTTGCCAGGAGGATGAAGTAATTACCTGTATGTTACAAGCACCTGGGCTTAATGTCTGCATACTTTTGAGCCTCATTATCAGATGAAATCCGCTGGTTTGATTGGTCCTCCTTTGAATTGAATTGAAACTCAGCTAAGACCTGTCAAATGACCATTTTATTGAATAACTTTTGCAAATTTAAGACTTGCTTCGCCACAAGCGTCCTTTTAGTCACAATTCGTGGACGCTTCGGTTATATTCCGTTACATTATGTACCATTATGACACTAATATAATAACTTTGTGATATTATGGTTGATCTAAAACAAGTTGAAACTATTAAATGTTACATTAACAACCGTCGATAAAGAGAAATGAACACTCTTAAGACAAGATCGAAGTAATATTCTACACATATGTCGCGTGAAATTTACTCTTGTTGTACCGAGTCATTATAGACGTATTCCTCAAGAGATTTGTTGCAATAGCTGTAATGTTGGTAAGTTTTCACCTACTGAC